CTAGCTAGAACTTCCCAGGAGAAGTTAAGTCAAGGCCCCCTGCCTTGTAGTCCTTGCCTAGCTCTCCCTTCCTGCTAGCAGCAAGCGCCGTCTAGTTCCTCGGGGGTCCCCAGAAAGTCTCCACAACTTCCAGCAAGGCCCACAAAAGACCCAGGCAGAACCCAGACATGATCTTTGTTGCATCCAGTTTGCAATTTTTGATTATTTCTTCTGTTACATGCTAGCCTGAGAATATAATTTTATTCAGCATCTGGCATCCTTATCCTGCTGCAGTGACAGATAGGTGTCCCTGTCATAGAGTACTTAGTAGTTTGCTGGTTTGAGTCAACGCATTAATAAATATTTTGATCAGAAATTCCTTTTTTAAAAAAAATCTTCTAACTAATTTTCTGATTATTTTGAGGTTGCTTTAGAATATACTCCTTGAGTGTGCTCCAAGCAAGTTATTGGCAGAGTCACAGAACACTTGAGGCTGGCAGGTTATGTAGTCCCACCTCCCTCCTCAGAGTAGGGTCAGCTACAGGAAATGTCCCAGGGTGGTGCCCAGTTAGGTTTTGAATACCTGAAAAGATGGAGATTCCACTACCTCTGTGCACAACCTCTTCCAGTATTTGATCATCCTTACAGTAAAAAGGTTTTTTCTTATGTTTAAAAAGAATTTCCTGTATTCCAGTTTGTGTGCATTTTCACTGGGCACCATTGAAAAGAATCCGGCTTGGTCATCTTTACTGCCCTCCATCAGATATTTGTATACATGGATAAGATCCCCCCTGAACCTTCTGTTCTCCAGACTGAATAGTCCCAGCTCTCAGGGCTTTTCCTTGTATGTCGGGTGCTCCAGTCCCGTAGTCATCTTCATGTATGTCCACATCTCCCTTGTAGTAAGGAGCCCAGAAGTGGACCCCATACTTCAGATGTGGCCTCACCAGGGCTAAGTAGAGGAGAAGCATTGTCTCCCTTGACCTGGTGGCAGTTCTCTGCCTAAGGCAGTCCAGGAGGCTGTAGGCTTTCTTTTGTATAATTAGGGTGCATTGCTGGCTCCTATTTCACCTTGCCCAACAGGACTCCCAGGTCCTTCTCCACAGAGCTGCCTTCCAGCAGGTCAGCCCCCAGCATGTCTTCGTGCTTGGGGTTATTCCTCCTTAGGTGCAGGACTTGGCACTTCCCTTTGTTGAACTTCTTGAGGGTCCTGTCAGCCCATTTCTCCAGCCTGTTGAGGTTCCTCTGAATGGCAGCACAGGCCTCTGGTGCATGAGCCACTCCTCCCCATTAGCTGCAGACTTGCTAAGAGTGTTCTCTGCCCCATCATCCAGATCATTCATGAGTAAGTTGAACAGTATTGGTCTCAGTATTGATCCCTGGAGTACACCTATAGTGACTGGCATCCAGCTGGACTTATTGCTACTGATCACAAACCTCTGAGCCTGGAAGTTCAGCCAGTTCAGCCGGTGGAGAAGAGGAGACTTGAGAGGGGATCTCATCAATGTCTACAAAGATCTGAAGGGAGGGGGTCAAGAGGATGGGGCCAGTCTCTTCTCCGTGGTGCCCGGCAACAGGACAAAGGCAATGGGCATAAACTGAACCACAGGCAGTTCCATCTGAACATGAGGCAAAACTTCTTTGCTGTGGGAGTGACAGAGCACTGGCACAGGTTGCCCAGAGAGGTAGTGGAGTCTCCTTCGCTGGAGATATTCAAACCCCGCCTGGACGTGATCCTGGGCAAAGTGCTCTAGGTGACCCTGCTTGAGCAGGGAGGTTGGACTAGACGATCTCCAGAGGTCCCTTCCAACCTAAACGATTCTGTGATTCTGTGATTCTATACTGGGTCCATCCTCTGATTTCATTAAAGTACAATTCTCATTTTTAGAGTTTATGAATCTTATTTTACTGCATAATGTTATGTAATACATACCAGTGTCTCCTCACCTGGCTTGTAATTGTTGAGGTATGCTGCACCTACAGACAAAATATCCTGTAGTAATTTTTCAGAAGGCGTACTTCATATATCCAAATACCGCATCCATTTTAGAACAGAGAATAACAGTACACGAATTATACAAATTAGAGAAAAACTTTTATCTTTTTTGTGATATTTCTAGTTAAAAAAAGTTAAACTTATCTTACAGTCGTATGTTCTAAATATTTTACATTGGAACATGTAACTTGGAGTTAACTGAATATTGATTAGAAAGTCTCAATGCAGTTAATGAAAATCCATTTACTTGAGAGTGGTAACAGCATTTAAAGGCAAATTGAAAGATAATCTGTTTTGAAACATGTTTTGTAGATTTTTTTTTCAAAAGTATGAGATAAGTATTATGTATGTAACTTCTAGTGTTTATAAGGTAATTAACAGAAAAATAAATAAATCTAGTAAGCTTATTACCTAGAAAAAAATCATCTGAACACAGTAGTTTAACTGAGGTCATTGCTGTTCTTTTCTTAATTTGACTTTATGGCTTGCTTTGCACAGGAAGGACTTACAAGAGCTGCAGAATCTTTACAGAGAAAACACTGAGCATACGGCACAGCAGGCTGAGCTGATCCAGCAGCTTCAGGCTCTCAATACGGATACACAAAAAGTTCTGAAAGATCAAGAAGACGCTCATACAGCCGAAACAATGTCATATCAAAAAGTATGTCTATCTCTTATAATCATAGGATTAATTTTAATATCTATCTGCGTCATACCAATGGACAGAATAATCAAAGCACTGTGTGGCGTTGCATCCTTTCAGAAATCCGTGTTGTTACCAAAATCTGGGTGGTAGGGTATCAGGGCTCTTTTGCCCTTATTACATCCCCGCATGTGTGACCTCTTGCTTATGTTGAATTAATCAGCCTTTGAAAAGTAAAATTTACTTGCATTTCAAGAAAGATAGGAGTGAATTACCAAGCATAACGACTTCTTTATGTAATTTCTGTTTTCTGTATTTTTCTTCTTCATCTTGTAGAGGTTTCAATCATTAAATTCTCCAATTTCATTTTGATTAGATTTTGAAATTCCTTTCACTTTTAAATCATGTATTTCTGTCAATCTCAAACAGTCTTTCTCGTTTAAAGGATTGTTGTTTTGTTAAACGTGGATGCAAAATCTCCTGTGGCAAATTGATTGAAAAAAACAGTTACTGTACTAGCTTTTTAGATGAATAACGAATTCAAAAATTTCTAACTCCTTGTTTACATGTAGAGAACAGGTTTTATATTTTGATGAATGAGAGGAGTAATGATAGTCCTGAAGAAATGTCACGAGTGCACTACTCAGATTTTCTATTTTTTACAGTAGCATATAATAGAGGTGTGGTTTTCAGTCTGTATGAAATACAGAAGATATGTTTCTTTCCTTTTTAGAAATACTGAGAGGGAAGAAGACATAGGTGTACAATTTTCATGTATCTTCTACCTATTGTGGAACTGTTTTTCTCAAATTGTGTACTGTCAGTGTGTTTTCAAAAAACAGACATTCTGGTTTATCACCCTACCTAGAGTATGTAATTTGTGATAAAATTGTGAAGCTGGGCCTAAATCAAGCAAAAAGCAGTACTGGATTTTTAAGGGTATGCCTGGTGAACATATATCACTTAATGCTCAGCTTATTCTTGCGTACCTAACTATGCATCAGTACAACACAGACATACAGTGTATGTTCTGTTTCCAGACATTGTCTTTTACTCTTTTATTTCCTGTGACAGTAGCCTAGCTATCTACAGATAGACTTCCATCAGAATTGTTCAGAACATGTAGATGTGGTGGTGGAAGGAGATGAAAACCACTTTGTGTTTAAACAAACAGTTTATTAAACCACCACACCATAACTGTCAGCATAGGAATTTTTGCTATTTGCAGTGGGGAATTAACAGACAAAACAAGGCAATATAGGAAAACAGTAGGTGATATAAGAAGCAATTAGCCAACAATGCAACTTATTTACAAATAGGTGCACAATTCAACTCCATTTCCACAGTGACTGATGTTCATTCACATTCATTTGAGCTCAAGTTATCATCACTTACTATTTCTGCTACCGGGTAACTGAGGAAAAAGGAGTACGCAGCTATCCTGTACTGAATCCTGTACTGGAGGGAAAAGGAATCCATAGGTATCCTGGAAGGAGCTCCTCTGCCCTGTATGGTACCACTCCCTCGCCCAGTCGCAGACAGCCATCTCAATGCTGCTTCAGGTCTATCCATCCTCAGGCGGCATCCTGGTCCAAAGGGGGTTCCTCTTGTCCACAGAACCAGCTGCTTTAGAAGGGGCATTCTCCTCCAAGAAACAAACACTTTTGGGTCTGTTTATGTACCTATGATCAAATTGTGAGCAGGGTCATACCTCACAGGGTGGCTTTTGGAGCACAACCGTGATGATTCTGGCAGGTTCCCGAAGGTTCCATAGTTGACAGATGTGACTGACATTGCCCAGGTAGTGGGTGGTGGTTAGTTGCCTCCTTCAATCATCTAGTTGCTAGGCAGAACACGTTAAGCCACCAGGTCTACCCTCAAAAGGTCAACCAGAGGTTAACCTAAAGGTTGTTAGGTCTACCTGTTTTTGCCTTTGCGTTGAGGGGTATACCACCACAGTAGAAGGCAGGGGGAGTTCCATCTATCTACAGCAAGACAAAGTAAATTACAGAAAAATCTTTTAAAATAATCAAAAACTTGTACTGAATGTAGGTATCAGGCATTACTACTTCCTTCTTGTGTTCTCTGGTCAATGCTTCTACAGCTGTAGCTGTCTGAGCGCAGCGAACAGACGCAGCAGTTTGCGTAGCAGTGTCTGGGTTCTGCCTGAATGGGGCGGGTGCCCTGGTGACAAAGGATACAGAGAAGGCAGAGTTGCTGAATGCCTTCTTTGCTTCGGTCTTCACTGGTAAGGCCAGTCCTCAGGAATTCCAGATGCTGGGGACAAGAGAGGAAGTCTGGAGAAAGGAAGACTCTCCCTTGGTGGAGGAGGACCAGGTTAGAGATCTTTTGTCCAAACTTGACATCCACAAATCCCTGGGCCCCCGTGGGATGCTTCCACGAGAGCTGAGGGAGCTGGTGGATGTTATCGCTAGGCCACTCTCCATCATCTTGGAAAGGTCCTGGAGATCAGGAGAGGTGCCTGAGGACTGGAAGAAAGCCAATGTCACCCCAGTCTTCCAAAAGGGCAAGAAGGAGGACACGGAGAGCTACAGGCCTGTCAGCCTCACCTCCATCCCGGGAAAGGTGATGGAACAGCTCCTCCTGAAGGTCATCACTAAGCATCTGGAGGACAAGAAGGTGATCAGGAGTAGTCAGCATGGATTCACCAAAGGGAAATCATGCTTGACCAATCTGACAGCCTTCTATGATGGGATGACTGGCTGGGTAGATGAGGGCAGAGCAGTGGATGCTGTCTACCTGGACGTCAGCAAGGCTTTTGACACTGTCTCCCATCACATCCTCCTAGGTAAGGTCAGGAAGTGTGGGCTAGATGAGTGGAC